AACGGCAAGCTGCAATTGATCCGATTGTGCTAAATAAACTGACTTTCTGCTTCACAACCACTATTGTTACGTTCAAAGAGTTAAATCCATTTATACACGCGGGTGGCGGTAATATTTTTTGGGTGATTAGTGCATTCCAGTGACATAAACGTACAGTTTCCAGCCAACGGCAAGCTGCAATTGACCGATTTGTGCTAAATAAACTGACTTTCTGCTTCACAACCACTATTGTACGTTCAAAGAGTTAGATCCATTTACACGCGATTGGGTGGCGGGTAATATTTTTTGGGGTGTGATTAGTGCATTCCAGTGACATAAACGTACAGTTTCCAGCCAACGGCAAGCTGCAATTGACCGATTGTGCTTAAATAAACTGACTATTCTGCTTCACAACCACTATTGTACGTTCAAAGAGTTAAATCCATTTACACGCGGGTGGCAATCTGGCGGTATAATATTTTTTGGGTGATTAGTGCATTCCAGTGACATAAACGTACAGTTTCCAGCCAACGGCAAGCTGCAATTGACCGATTGTGCTAAATAAACTGACTTTCTGCTTCACAACCACTATTGTACGTTCAAAGAGTTAAATCCATTTACACGCGGTTCTTTTTTTGGCGGTGGTAATATTTTTTGGGTGTGATTAGTGCATTCCAGTGACATGAAACGTACAGTTTCCAGCCAACGGCAGCAATTGACCGATTGTGTGCAAAATAAACTGACTTTCTGCTTCACAACCATATTGTACGTTCAAAGAGTTAGATCCATTTACACGCCGGTGGCGCGGTAATATTTTTTGGGGGTGATTAGTGCATTCCAGTGACATAAAACGTACAGTTTCCAGCCAACGGCAAGCTGCAATTGACCGATTGTGCTAAATAAACTGACTTTCTGCTTCACAACCACTATTGTACGTTCAAAGAGTTAAATCCATTTACACGCCGGGTGGCGGTAATATTTTTTGGGTGATTAGTGCATTCCAGTGACATAAACGTACAGTTTCCAGCCAACGGCAAGCTGCAATTGACCGATTGTGCTAAATAAACTGACTTTCTGCTTCACAACCACTATTGTACGTTCAAAGAGTTAGATCCATTTACACGCCGGGTGGCGGTAATATTTTTTGGGTGATTAGTGCATTCCAGTGACATAAACGTACAGTTTCCAGCCAACGGCAAGCTGCAATTGACCGATTGTGCTAAATAAACTGACTTTCTGCTTCACAACCACTATTGTACGTTCAAAGAGTTAAATCCATTTACACGCCGGGGTGGCGGTAATATTTTTTTTGGGTGATTAGTGCATTCCAGTGACATAAACGTACAGTTTCCAGCCAACGGCAAGCTGCAATTTGACCGATTGTGCTAAATAAAACTGACTTTCTGCTTCACAACCACTATTGTACGTTCAAAGAGTTAAATCCATTTACACGCCGGGTGGCGGTAATATTTTTTGGGTGATTAGTGCATTCCAGTGACATAAACGTACAGTTTCCAGCCAACGGCAAGCTGCAATTGACCGATTGTGCTAAATAAACTGACTTTCTGCTTCACAACCACTATTGTACGTTCAAAGAGTTAAATCCATTTACACGCGGGTGGCGGTAATATTTTTTGGGTGATTAGTGCATTCCAGTGACATAAACGTACAGTTTCCAGCCAACGGCAAGCTGCAATTGACCGATTGTGCTAAAATAAACTGACTTTCTGCTTCACAACCACTATTGTACGTTCAAAGAGTTAAATCCATTTACACGCCGGGTGGCGGTAATATTTTTTTTGGGTGTGATTAGTGCATTCCAGTGACATAAAACGTACAGTTTCCAGCCAACGGCAAGCTGCAATTGACCGATTGTGCTAAATAAACTGACTTTCTGCTTCACAACCACTATTGTACGTTCAAAGAGTTAAAATCCATTTACACGCCGGCTGGCGGTAATATTTTTTGGGTGATTAGTGCATTCCAGTGACATAAACGTACAGTTTCCAGCCAACGGCAAGCTGCAATTGACCGATTGTGCTAAATAAACTGACTTTCTGCTTCACAACCACTATTGTACGTTCAAAGAGTTAGATCCATTTACACGCCGGGTGGCGGTAATATTTTTTGGGTGATTAGTGCATTCCAGTGACATAAACGTACAGTTTCCAGCCAACGGCAAGCTGCAATTGACCGATTGTGCTAAATAAACTGACTTTCTGCTTCACAACCACTATTGTACGTTCAAAGAGTTAATCCATTTACACGGCGGGTGGCGGGGTAATATTTTTTGGGTGATTAGTGCATTCCAGTGACATTAAACGTACAGTTTCCAGCCAACGGCAAGCTGCAATTGACCGATTGTGCTAAATAAACTGACTTTCTGCTTCACAACCACTATTGTACGTTCAAAGAGTTAAATCCATTTACACGCCGGGTGGCGGGTAATATTTTTTTGGGTGATTAGTGCATTCCAGTGACATAAACGTACAGTTTCCAGCCAACGGCAAGCTGCAATTGACCGATTGTGCTAAATAAACTGACTTTCTGCTTCACAACCACTATTGTACGTTCAAAGAGTTAGATCCATTTACACGCCGGGCTGTGGCGGTAATATTTTTTGGGTGATTAGTGCATTCCAGTGACATAAACGTACAGTTTCCAGCCAACGGCAAGCTGCAATTGACCGATTGTGCTAAATAAAACTGACTTTCTGCTTCACAACCACTATTGTACGTTCAAAGAGTTAATCCATTTACACGCCGGGTGGCGGTAATATTTTTTGGGTGATTAGTGCATTCCAGTGACATAAACGTACAGTTTCCAGCCAACGGCAAGCTGCAATTGACCGATTGTGCTAAATAAACTGACTTTCTGCTTCACAACCACATATTGTACGTTCAAAGAGTTAAATCCATTTACACGCCGGGGTGGCGGTAATATTTTTTGGGTGATTAGTGCATTCCAGTGACATAAACGTACAGTTTCCAGCCAACGGCAAGCTGCAATTGACCGATTGTGCTAAATAAACTGACTTTCTGCTTCACAACCACTATTGTACGTTCAAAGAGTTAAATCCATTTACACGCCGGCTGGCGGTAATATTTTTTGGGTGATTAGTGCATTCCAGTGACATAAACGTACAGTTTCCAGCCAACGGCAAGCTGCAATTGACCGATTGTGCTAAATAAACTGACTTTCTGCTTCACAACCACTATTGTACGTTCAAAGAGTTAAATCCATTTACACGCCGGGTGGCGGTAATATTTTTTGGGTGATTAGTGCATTCCAGTGACATAAACGTACAGTTTCCAGCCAACGGCAAGCTGCAATTGACCGATTGTGCTAATATAAACTGACTTTCTGCTTCACAACCACTATTGTACGTTCAAAGAGTTAAATCCATTTACACGCCGGGTGGCGGTAATATTTTTTGGGTGTGATTAGTGCATTCCAGTGACATAAACGTACAGTTTCCAGCCAACGGCAAGCTGCAATTGACCGATTGTGCTAAATAAACTGACTTTCTGCTTCACAACCACTATTGTACGTTCAAAGAGTTAAATCCATTTACACGCCGGGTGGCGGTAATATTTTTTGGGTGATTAGTGCATTCCAGTGACATAAAACGTACAGTTTCCAGCCAACGGCAAGCTGCAATTGACCGATTGTGCTAAATAAACTGACTTTTTGCTGCTTCACAACCACTATTGTACGTTCAAAAGAGTTAAATCCATTTACTCGCGGGGTGGCGGTAATATTTTTTGGGTGATTAGTGCATTCCAGTGACAGAAACGTACAGTTTCCAGCCAACGGCAAGCTGCAATTGACCGATTGTGCTAAATAAACTGACTTTCTGCTTCACAACCACTATTGTACATTCAAAGAGTTAAATCCATTTACACCGGCGCCGGCTGAAGCTTGGGGTAATATTTTTTGGGTGATTAGTGCATTCCAGTGACAGAAACGTACAGTTTACAGCCAACGGCAAGCTGCACCTCGGGATTGCTTTGTATATCTGTCGCCTTAGAGGCCGCTGTCTGAACAGCTCATGTAATTGCTTTCTATATGTGTCGCCTTTGAGGCCGCTGGCTGGACAGCTGATGAATTGATTTGTATATTATGTACTTATTGTCCGCTGTCCGGACAGCTCATGAATTACTTTTTGTATATAGCCTTCCAAACCACTCTCAGAATAAGTCATTGATATTCATGCTGTGTATAGCCTTATAGGCCAATGGTCAATCAAGTCATGATTGTTATAGTGTGTATAGCCTTATAGGCCGCTGTCTTTACAACTTTATAATTCCATGCAGTATATAGCCCTATCGGCCACTTTCTGGCATCCAGTTGCTGTAGCCCCCATCACCACACTGTGCCACGGGCCCCTGTACCGCCTTCTCATACTGCTGCCAGATCCATCCTCTGCCATGTGCGTATTTGTCGTCTGCTCACGCTGCTGGGTTCCAGTTTTAAACCTAGGCCTGTGTATGGCTTCCGAATACTGCTGCCTCCTACCGCCACCCTGCGCCATGTGCCTCTGTCGTCTGCTCACGCTGCTGACGGCTTCCGCTTTTTAACCTAGGCCTGTGTATGGCTTCCGAATACTGCTGCCTCCACCGCCACCCTGCGCCATGTGCCTCTGTCGTAACGCTGCTGACGTCGTCTGCTCACGCTGCTGCCAGGTCCATACTGATTCATGGCCCCCTGTACCGGCTCCTCATGAACGTGGTTCAGCGGGTTTGCATCACTTAACGGCAAATCGTTGACAAATGCTGGGGACGTTCAGTGTTGTGCGCATTAAGCCAGACACCAAAGGGCAGCACAGACCTGTTTATTACTCGCTCAAGCATGGCTGAACAAAACCAGTCTCTACCACAAATTGGACCCAGACCTGCCCAGGGTCTCGTAACTAGATTGCACGGAGGAGTAGAGTCCGTTATCGGAATTAAATAGACAAAAAACGCCACACCAAAAAGAGTGGCCATTTCCAACACTTATTCCAGAAAGAGGAACAACCCGTTTCATATACGGCCCGTAGACGTTTCACGTCTGCCACATTCAGTCGATTTAAGACGCAAGCTCACTTCCTGTGGTCTCTGACCGTCGATATACCTTTAAGTGTCAGCTTTGAAGCTATATTCCCTCCGGAGCACTGACACTGGTGCCCTTCCGTCAACATGCCTTTAAGTTTCAGTTTTCAACCATATTCCCCACAGAAGCCAAACTCTTGGGTATCCCAGAAGCTGCTCAGCGGGTCAGGGCAATAAAGCTCCCGGTTCGCAGGTTGTTCCGTCTTATGGATGGAAGTACGACGGTATATGATCTTCTTCGCACCCACGGCATCACCTCATAGAATCTCTGCATTGCATCTGCAATCACAACGCTGACTTCCCGGATCGCCACTCAGCCATTGGACTCTTGATAGTCGTCTCCCCACACTGCTGCTGGGGGGACTTTTTAACCTAGGCCTGTGTACCTTCAATTGAAGCTGCTTCCGCTCCGCCACTCTGCCATTGGACTCTTGATAGTCGTCTCCCCACGCTGCTGCTGGGGGGACTTTTTAACATAGGCCTCTGTATGGCCTTTAATTGAAGCTGCTTACGCTCCGCCACTCTGCCATGGGCCTTGGGTATCCCAGAAGCTGCTCAGCGGGTCAGGGCAATAAAGCTCCCGGTTCGCAGGTTGTTCCGTCTTATGGATGGAAGTACGACGGTATATGATCTTCTTCGCACCCACGGCATCACCTCATAGAATCTCTGCATTGCATCTGCAATCACAACGCTGACTTCCCGGATCGCCACTCAGCCATTGGACTCTTGATAGTCGTCTCCCCACACTGCTGGGGGGACTTTTTAAACCTAGGCCTGTGTATGGCCTTCAATTGAAGCTGCTTCCGCTCCGCCACTCTGCCATTGGACTCTTGATAGTCGTCTCCCCACGCTGCTGCTGGGGAGACTTTTTAACCTAGGCCTGTGTATGGCCTTCAATTGAAGCTGCTTCTGCTCCGCCACTCTGCCATTGGACTCTTGATAGTCGTCTCCCCACACTGCTGCTGGGGGGACTTTTTAACATAGGCCTCTGTATGGCCTTCAATTTAAGCTGCTTACGCTTTGCCACTCTGCCATGGGCCCCTGTACCGCCTCCTCTTGCTGCTGCCAGGTCCAGAGTGTGTCATGGGTCCCTGTACGGCCTCCCATTGCTGCTGACTTCATCGCCAGACTCTGCCATGTGCCACTTTCAGGTCTCCTTACACTGTTGGTGGGTTCCATTTTGTGATAGGGTGCTGTATGGCCTTCCATTGCTGCTGCCTACACCGCCACCCTGCGCCATGTGCCTCTGTCGTCTGCTCACGCTGCTGACGGCTTCCGCTTTTTAACCGAGGCCTGTGTTTGGCTTCCGAATACTGCTGCATCCACCGCCACCCTGCGCCATGTGTCTCTGTCGTCTGCTCACGCTGCTGACGGCTTCCGCTTTTTAACCTAGGCCTGTGAATGGCTTCAGAATAATGCTGCCTACACCGCCACCCTGCGCCATGTGCCTCTGTCGTCTGCTCACGCTGCTGCCAGGTCCATACTGATTCAAGGCCCCCTGTACCGGCTCCTCATGAACGTGGTTCAGCGGGTTTGCATCACTTAACGGCAAATCGTTGACAAACGCTGGGACGTTCAGTGTTGTGCGCATTAAGCCAGACACCAAAGGGCAGCACAGACCTGTTATTACTCGCTCAAGCATGGCTGAACAAAACCAGTCTCTACCACAAATTGGACCCAGACCTGCCCAGGGTCTCGTAAGTAGATTGCACGGAGGAGTAGAGTTCGTTATTGGAATTAACTGTGAGGGACTTTTAAACCTAGGCCTGTGTATGGCCTTCAATTGAAGCTGCTTCTGCTCCGCCACTCTGCCATTGGACTCTTGATAGTCGTCTCCCCACGCTGCTGCTGGGGGGACTTTTTAACATAGGCCTCTGTATGGCCTTCAATTTTAGCTGCTTACGCTCCGCCACTCTGCCATGGGCCCCTGTACCGCCTCCTCATGCTGCTGCCAGGCCCGTAATCTGCCATGGGCCCCCGTACCGACTCCTCATGCTGCTGCCAGGCCCGTAATCTGTCATGGGCCCCTGTACCGCCTCCTCATGCTGCTGCAGGTCCAGAGTGTGTCATGGGTCCCTGTACGGCCTCCCATTGCTGCTGTCTCCATCGCCACACTCTGCCATGTGCCACTTTCAGGTCTCCTCACACTGCTGGTGGCTTCCATTTTGTCATAGGTTGCTGTATGGCCTCCCATTGCTGCTGCCTCCACCGCCACACTGTGGCTCCACACTCTGGTTTTGGCCCCGTGACTGCCCAAATGAGTGAAGTGTGCGGTGATTCTAAGATCGACGGCACTCATCTGCATGTCATACTGACTGACAGTATTATTTCTCTTCCCCAGCAGACTCCAAGGGCATTTAAATTTAAAGGTACAGTGTTCTGCACTAATATAAAGGCTCTCTGAAGCCTAGAAACACCCTTTTTATAAGTTAAATTTGCAGCGAATATATTCGGCTCGAAGCAAATTTATTCGGCGAATTCGGCGAATCAGCCGAACCAAATTTTTGAATAATTCGCTCATCTCTAGTGAGAATGCTTACTATTTGTGCATGCAAGGAACTAATTGTTGTGTGGCATGGTTCATGGTTTTACCCTTCTGTTTACTTTATTTATTTTTTTGTAGTTTATATATTTGAGCAGAAGTGTTTTCTATTCCCTACTCTATGGGCAAGGATCCGCTCATTTTGTGTACAATGTGTGGGCATAGAATTCTTAATCCACTGAGTGTGGGTGTCTCTTTATGCATCTATTGTTGGGGTGGGTACCTGACACAGTTGGCTGTTGGTCTTATCATAATGGATGAAATTTCTGTAGCATCTTTATATATTTGTTTTTCATCTTTGAATACCTTAGGTCACATCACACATGGGTGGGTTATCCCCTCCTATGACCACAGATACATACCCTGGGTGGGAACCAATGGTGCAGAATTCCACTTACTTGTTTATTTTAATATGAGTCTACTTGACCATTCAGTACGTCTGTTTATCCTGGGTAAGATGATCCTCCAAGTGATTCATGGATAATTTTTCTGTATATACTGTATTTCCTATATACCTGTATTACTTGATTGTTGGTTTTATTCATAAATGTTTTCTATTTGTAGTGAATTATTTGCAGCATCCATAAGTCTCTTGAGGAAGCCAGCAATGTGGCAAAACATGTAGAGCTGAAGGAGACTGTATTGATTTCTTAGCCGCATGGAAACTCAGTGGTAGTTTTATGTCTTATACTGCAAAGTGGTATTTTAATACTTTGTAATAAAATTACTATTTTTATTATATGTTTTTGAGTTATATTTTTGGTACCTTAAAAATCCCTTTTTCTTCTTCCTATACATAAAATATGCATTATCATTGGGATGTGGTGCCTTTGGTTCTCTGACACCTAGGAATTTCTAGCACCACATGCATGTTTAATTGTGTGTTTCCCATTACCTGCAGGCTGCTACTTTTTGTAACATTCTTCACTTCATTGCCCTCTTCATAGCTGCCAGATGCTGCCCTGAGTGATTATCTTCCAGCACTTTTGAGAGTTAACAGCATGTACTGCAGGTGTGAAGAATTGTGCCACTCACCTGCACTATTCTGCCCTCTCCTATTCAGAGAGCTTGTATTACTAATCTCACAAAAAGCATAGTGCTGTCTGAATGGAGGATGAGCAGATGAATGACAGGATCTCTACTGTCCATTCACATCTATTGGAAAATCTCTGCAACAAGTCAATTGTTCATTGCAGGAGCACCACAAATTCCTGCCAATGGCAATACAAGATCACAGCAGGTCCCAGGTCTTTCAGGGACTGGTTGATTTCTGGTTACATATACACTGGCATATAAAATGTGTCCTTGTAGTGAAGAAGTATCATATTGGAAATATGCTAATTAAAATAGAGAAATTAAATAACTGGCATCTGTAATGATTTGCGCTTGATTGTTTGCTTGTATTTTCTCCCTGTCCGAGATGATGTTGTCAGAGCTGTGTGCCAGGCTGCAAAACTATCCTATCTCAAGCCTGAGCTCAGTTCTGAAAAATTAACTCACGAAAGACAGATTCAGTCAAGATTACATGAAAACTGTGTAGAAGGAGAACTCTGGGAAATATAAGTGGAGAGGACAGTAAACGATTAGGCCAATGTCTTAATTTCACTTGTCTCCATTCTCTTCTTTTCCAGGCAGGGCTCCCCAAAAACTGCGTACAAGAAAACAGCAGTACCCAGTGGTGTATTTAGGTTCTGTGCTGCCCTAGGCAACACAAAAATTGGCTCCCCCCCAATGCAGAGAGTCTGACACCGACCAACACCCCCCTCCCCCATGAAGAGAGCCTGACATTTACCAACAACACCCCAGCCTGTTTGCCTTGTTGTAAATGCACCCCTGACAGTACCATTAGCTCAGTGCTCTTGGTCTGAATTGTCTACCTCCAATCCCTAATATCTTATGAATGGAATATGTTGGGGCAACTGTTGGCCACGTTCTGTAAACTTCTACTGCAGCAACTAATTCCATTCATCAAATAGTAGGAACAGAAAAAAGAAATAGCTGCCATTTCCACTCTGTTAGGGAGATATTACAAGTGAATAACAGCACAAACAGATATCATTTAGATAAAGAAAACTGCACTACTGTAACACTTTTTAATTAAAATTCATTATTACCTTTTTTTAACTGGTTGCCTTTACGGACAGTTTTTGGCCCTTTTTCATACTTCAGGATGTGCCTAGATAACTAAACGCTACCCAATCCATAGTTTCTTTGAATCTGGATTGCATTTATTTTGGCAATTGTTGGCCTTATAGGGTTCTACTGCAACAACACATTCCATTCATTAAATAGTAGGAAAAGGGAAATTGAAAGACCTGACTTTTTTGTTCTGTCAGGGAGATAATTCAAGTGAATAACCGCCCAAACAGTTATGTTTGTGATGAAAGACTGCATGGTTGTAACACCCTTTAAATATAAATTCATTCTTATGCCTTTGTGACTATTTCTCTTTATATTAACAGTTCCCATCCATTTACTATACTTCAGGATATGGCTGGGTGACTAAAGGCTTCCCAATCCATAGCGTCCCTAAATCTGCACTGATTATGTTTTTTTTTACTTCTATAGAGAGAAAAACAGCTATCAGCCAATTGTTTCTATATCTGTGAATTAGTGGTTTAAATGGCCAGTGACAAGTGCTGGTGAGAAAGAGGTAGTTTTGCTGCCAATATGACCTTGAGCAAGGATTGTTTCTGAAAGTCTTTCTTTGACGCTTGCACAATGAAGTCTTCTGATTCTGTAAACGTGCTTAAAGCAATATAGTATTGTCACATGTGAGTCTTGTCATTTTCTGTCACACTATGACCATCCTTTTCTTAATTCTATGTATTTATTAGTCATATGTTCTCCTCACTGTGGAGCTAAACAACCTTTTATGTGTTGAATGCCATTACTTGTTAAATCAAACCACTTGCCTATTAAAACTAGTTCTTAATGAATACCTCCTTCAAGAACAATTTGCATCTACATAGGCCACATAACATAATGTCAGAGCAGTCTGGTGATAAACAACAACTCTGTGGTTCTAACAATCCTTAGGGTTCTAACAGTCAAACACATGTGAAAATGAGGGGAAAGGAGACAATTGTGTTTACTCATCTATAGAACACCATAAATAAACAGGTCGGAATCACGAACATAGAAAACATTATTCAATTAATCAATCAGAGCTTTTATCTTGGTTGCTATGTTGGCCATGTTGGCAGTGGAAACAGACACAGCATGGGTCCCCCTGGTTCATTGTAAAAAATGTTACCCACCTCCAGTTTCTTTTTCCAAAGTTCTGCTACCTCTGGTATTCTTTACCCTTCAACAGACACAAGTAACCCTTCCCAAGATGAAGACGGGAGAGATTGGGTAATATAGCATTGTGTTGTAGATTGGTAGTTCTCATTAAGACTTCTCAGTTTGGTAAGGACACCCAACCCAACTGAAGAGTATCTCAACATACTGTATACATTGCATTTGCCCATGTAGGCCAGGTAATAAAGTTAACAAGTTTAGTAAGTTTAGTGTATATGGGGTAGGGCGAGCACCAACTTTTAGGGTTCATGCAGGGATGAACTGACAACTCATGGGGCCCCTGGGCAATAGGGGATCATGGGGCCCTTGTGTCCTTGCCCAAACTCAAAAAAGCCTATGAAAAAGGTACCAGGGGCATCTCATGGGGCCCCCTACTGATCCCGGGCCCTCGGGCAGTGCCGAGT